AAAAATTTTCCGGCGCCCTCGAAAGCCCCACTGTCCAATGTTTCCCTGGTTTCCAGCGATTGCCGTAGTTACCGACAAGGCATCGCTTGAGATCAAGGTTCGGGTCTTAACCGCGAAGTAGGAGGGCGTAAAATCGCCAATCAATAAAAAATTCTCTCCATCCGGGCCTTAAGAGTGCTCGCACATAAATAAAAGTCAGCTAACACATGGGCATATGACAACATGTATCAGCTATGTGTATTCTCAACCCGGCACTTTGTGGAGGGCTTTGTCTTCTTTAGCGTTTCCAATGGCGAACTTTTCATGCATTTACATTACTGGATTCAGTCACTTGAGATGTTCAGTCCCTCTAATCAATATGATTTGTGTAGGACATGCTTGTCCTGTTTTTTATTTCGCGTATTTTTTTTGTGAATAAAACTGAGAATATGTTTTGGGAAAATATGATCATACAATAAAACCTCCACTTCTCAAAATTTTTTCACAAAAGTTTTTTTGTGATTTTAATGCTTTTCAATAATACTCCACTCCAAAAATGACTCTCCACTGCACTCCGAAATGAACATGGTGGCTAAAAATGAATTGTCCCCTCTCACTACGGCCCCTCTCACCTGACTTGTTATGACGTAGATGCGCGCAATATTTCTTTCAATGAAAGTTTGATGAAGAATCCACATTTCAATAGTACAATTTTTGTTAGATTCAATGTTTATACACGTAAAGCAAAGAATAATGCAATAAAAACCCATTTAAACACAGAACAATGCGCACGGGTCGATAGTATAGGGACGCGCAACTTATTCCATGATTTATCAAATGGATTTAACTCATTAACAATCAAGTGCAAACGACGAGAACATGAAATTCGTAATGTACAAACGATTTTCTTCGGAAAACACCCCTAATTTGGTTTTATTGATCAATTTTTAATTTGTTGTCGGCCAAGATCATGCCGAAATTTAATTAATTGTTTTTAATTAATCAGTTGATGTATCAACAAAAATTTTATAGGTACAATCATGTACTAACGATGTACAATCGAGTCTATAAGTGCGTTTTTCGAATTACTGACTTATGTCGGGTAAGTACCCGGGGTTGAGATTATAGGAGAGATTGTTAACGCCAATGGCGAGGCTTCAACCAGAGATTATAGGGGAGATTGCTAACGCCATGAAGAATAGAGTGAGGAGGCCGAACAGTAGTGGGAGAATGTTCTAAATGTGCGTCACAGAGGGGCGAAGGAATGTAGTTCCTCTAGATAGCGCCGTATAGCGCTGACGTCGCTCGGGTCTCCCATGCACATAATAGATGTTTCATGTATTGGTGGCTTTGTTGTGATATGAAAATTTTATTCACGCAGCGTTATTATTGTTAAATTGGCCGATTAGATGTTTTTTCATTCACGCTACAATAGTTGAATGTTATTGGTGAGAACAAAGATGAGGAGGGTGTGTCTATTTCCTGGATGTAAATCAGGAGCAGCAAATGATAAAAGACACAATAAATCGGGTGGAGCGCGTAATAAAAGTTTATTTTTTAACGTGACATTTCCCCAGGGAATGGAAAATGCCCATTACCTTCGCCCTACTTCCCCTGAGCCTAGTAAAACCTGCTAAAATTTAGCCAAATGGGCGCCAGGTAATCTTTAACCGGAATTACCAAACCGGAAATTTCTGTAAACCTAAACTTAACTAACCTCGAAATTCATGGTATCGAAAATCGTACCTCAAACTCCTAAAGCTCTAACTCAAAAATATACCCTAAAATCAAAAAGGAAACCTGAAGGGAACGGAAAGGATAATTAGGCTTTTGGTGAAAGGTGACGGTCCTGGGGTCGCTCAGTATGCCAGTTGTGGAGAGAGGGGTGGATCGTAGATGGGGGCAAGGTTACTGTAAAAATCGAGAAAAATACCAAAAAGAAAGGAAACGGGAGGCGAGAAATAAATTAATGCAATCAACCATTGTCCTTACGTGTTCCGCTATTAACGTCAAAATTCAGTACAAGAGTAATAAATGATAAACAATTGTATTATACCAATCTGCTTCCGAATCTCACTAGCCATTTTTAATTTCCTCTAAATATTACGTTCCAGCTAAAAATCTCCAAATCCAAATTTAATTCTCCTTTTCAGTTACCGCGAAATAGGTATTTTCTAACAAAAACCCAAATAAAACTTCAACTGCCTCCTTAAATCGCCGGGAACATAAATTATTTAACAAATACCGAATATATCGCTGAGCATCCCACACTAGTATCCAATAATCTCATCGGAATGCGGCCTCAAGCATTATTGATTGGCGATAATCCGAGGAATAACCGAAATATTATTTGCGCCCGGGAAATCGATAATTTCCCTGAATCGGACCCCTAGCGAGTGAGCGCAAGCGAGAGAGAGAGCGAGAGAGACGGCACTATGCCTCGCTGCTCGGTTAGCAGAGAGGAGAAATACACAAAAAAATTCCTACTTCACCTTAAATTTGATAACTCGGAATCTGCCGAGCAGATTCCGAAAACTCTTGACCATCTGGTCCGGGACATCATTCCCCACACTCCCACAAAAGTTCAGGCGTAAAGGCCCATAATTAACCCCGTTAACGTAATTAATAACCACGCGGAAATTTAACGCGCGATTCCCCACCTGTTGCCCGTAGCCACTCGTTGGCGGCCTCGATTGCGCAACGAGGGAGAACCACGGGCCTTGTTCGTCGGCCGTGGACAAATTCACTCACAATTCACATACAAAACCCCTCAAAATCTAACAATTTACACTAATGACCTCCCAACCGCACTGGGGGATAATGCAGGCCGAGTTTATTCGGACAAACCCTTCACAACCTCTTCAAAACCACCCAAAATTTTGGGGGACACAACCGACGCCATTTCCATGGTTCGGAAAATTTACTACCGCCAATAATTTATTGGGGAGCCGCCAAAAAGGGGAAAAATCTTTAATTAAGGCCGTAGAAACTCACGGTTGTTCTCCTCGCTGCCTTCCTCTTTCTCTTCAGGACCATCCTGGCTGCAGCTAATTGTCCTGGTATCCTGGGTGATGCACTCGTTAATTCTCACTACTCACTCCTGTTCACTCACGTGTGGATGTTACCGCGGTTAATGCGTAACTGATTGTCGGAGGTCAGTTTCGCGTTGCACTAACCCCCTAATCACGCCTACCAACCGATCGGGTGTCGATTGGTGGATCCCTCTACCTTATTCTGGGTCAAGCCCTTCGCGGGAGAATTAATTCAAACTTGAATTAATTCTCATTTCCAGAATTTTTCTTTCCGCGGTATTTTTCTCTTGGTTAATTCTCCTGGATTCCTGGGGTTAGAAGACCTAAATCACTAACCTTAAACGTATTAAATTACTTCACTAACCCGTAATTTTATTTATTTATTGGCACTCCGCCGAGGTAAGGGCTGGATTTACCCCGTGCGGCCTTCCACCGATACTTAATTTCAAAATTGTTGGCACTCCGTCGGGACGATGATTAATTCTATCCCAGACGGCCTTCCACCCGTAACAGCCCTTGGCGATCCGTAGGGGTATTTTTCGTGTTCCCCGTACGGCCTTCCACCCGTACCAACTAACCCTCAAGAACGCTTTTTCTTTGGAGCGCCGGCTTTTTGGGCCGGAACTAAAATAACCTAGAGCTTGCCCTAACCTTAACCCTAAAATCTCTAAACCACCCCGAAGGGGGGGGAAATCCTAATTTTCCTGAACCTAAACTACGTCCCAATTGTCTCACTCTCTCTCCCGATTTCTGAATTTTCTTCGGGATCCGAACGGGCATCCCCGATGCTCGTTACACCCCCCTCCTTTGATGGTCCGTATCCGTGTCCGCCTTCGTGATCTTCCTTTGGTCGAACTGCTTCTCTTCCCGGTTCCATGAATCCTGCGTCACATCTAAACTCCACCAACGTAATGTCGGGGAAAACACGAACCCACACCCTGAAGTAAGGGTCGGAATAAATGTACAATGTTTATCAAAACGCATTTGTATATTTGCCGGGTCGTCTGACCCGGAGATGCCTCTGAAAAGCAACTTAATAAAATAAAAAAAAGAACATTGATTGCCCCCTGGGGCTTATGGCACATTTTGGTGCTTGTGGGGAGTCATCTCCCCGGACGGATTCTTCCGCATTATCACAAAAACTTATCCTATGTGGTTTGTACCGTGGGTGCATCCAGGTACTTGTGAGACTTATCACAATGAACAATGAACTAAACTTTGGTAATTGGCACCCTATACAAAATACAAACATATCAGAATACAGAAAGAGAAAAAAACATGTCGTATCAAAAAAAAAGAATGGTATCAAGAAAAAAAACTATCCTATCAAAGGAAGCACGCCGAAACAACAACAAAAAAAAAAGGAAAATGTGGAAATTCCACAAAAAAAACAAAAAAAATTAGATCGCCACTCTTGGAGACGAGTGGATAGCCGGGGTGTTCCACTCCGGATGTGCACCCTCCTTGCGGGGATGTACCACTGAGTCCTCAGAGGTTGCCACCGTCTTATCCACCGGTTTATCGGGGATAGTACCGCCGATTTAACGGGGATGGTACCTGCGCTCCGGACTCTGCTGCTGGCTGCGCTGGGCTTGGTCCAGGAGGCACTGGAGGACCTCGATGGTGTCTCTGGACCAGCGGGTTGCCTGACTTGTCGGAGGAGGTCCGAAGCGGGCGTTCGCTCCACGCCCAAGAGGTGGTCGGGTCGGTGCGCTAGCGGCCGCCGAGGTGTAGTACCCGTGCTCCGGGGCTCGGTAGCCAGGGCTGTAGCTGGTGGTCGTCGTGGCTGGCGGTTGCCAGAAGAAACGGAGTTCCGAATCTTCTGGAGGTTCTTCCTCCCGGCGAGGTCGGCGTTCCTCCTCCCGAGGAGGAGCCGGATAAGCCGGTCCAGCTGTGGCTGGACGGATAGGGTTCCTCTCGAAGGGAGCCCAGTACTCCTCAGCACGTCGATCGTGAGCGCGTGGCGGCGATCGGGCGGCCGGTCGAGGGCGATGGCTGGATGCGGCCGCAGCAGGTGGCAGCGATGGCCTCCCCTGGGATGCCTCAGCTGGCGTGCTGGAAAGTCCGGCCGTTCGTCCGCCGGCAGGCTGTGTTACCGGGCCGTGCTCCGGGCAGATCCTGTCAGCCCTGAGGCGATGTGGGCATTGCCCACAGAACAGTTCTCCGGTGGGATTGGGGCAAGCCTGGTGTGCGTGGCCGTGCCTGCGGCAGTCACAACACCAGTACCGAGGCTTGCGTCGTTTGCCTCCGGTGGTTCCGCTGGGCTGTCCTCCTCCTCGCTTCGCTGTAGTGGTGTCACGAGTATCCGTGGTGGTCTTCCTCATCTGCTGGCTGCTGGTGCTGACGGGGCCTTCCACGGCTCCCAAAGGAGCGAATAGGCCGACCTGCGTACAGGCGGATGTGGAGGCCTGAGCTGATGTGCTGGGACGAGTGGTCACAGCGGCAAAAGCGCGTCCGGATCCCGAAGGGGTGACCTCCGGGAGATTCTCGCCATCCTCATCTACTCTGAGGGGCGGATACGGTGGTGTTCTCTCGCCGGCCTGTGAGTCCGTGGGCAGCGGATGTTGTTCGGCCAGCTCAGTCTCGGGATGAGAGAGAGCTGGAGGTGGTGACGCTGCTGTTGCTGTGGTGCTGGGCAGCGAGAGGTCCTCGAGTGGGCCGAAGTCGATAAACTCGGTGCCCATGCTCGGGACGCTAGATGCCGGTGGACTTGTCGGAGCCACCCTTCCGGGGGATGAAGTCCGGTCCTCATTCCGGCCTGGTGGACGACCAGGACCTTCTGCTGTGGGGCTCCGGAGTGTAGATGACCGAGTCCTCGGAGTCTGATGAGGAGCTGCTACAACTGGATGATGTGGAGGTGCTGGAGCTCGAGGAGCTGGAGCCGATCTCCACAATCGGAGGTGCCGGCGGGGTCGGGGCCCGTTCGGAAGACTGATCCACGGGGGTATCCCCCGGGAGTTTTTCCTCACTCTCTCCGAGTGGGACTGTGTCGCTCACCAATTCCAGGGGAATGGGAGGGATGATGAACCTGACCGCCGACAGGTGGTGAGCCGATGTCAGCGTGCAGGTATGTAAGGCCGCGGCAAAGCCGGGATGTTTCTCCTCGATACTCCGTATCTCGGAGAGCCAGGGTCTTACTGGGTCCCAGTAAACCTGGAGGTAGATGGGGTCCTCTATGGCCGGTTGGCACTGCGGTCCCTCTAGTCTCCCGGGTGGAGGCAGCCTTTCCAGCACGACGACTGGGGACAGGGGTCCTCGCGGCGGCGGGCTCTGGGCGACGTCGGCGTCACTGTCGTTGGGGAGTGCCAACTCGTCCAACACCACTGGAATTCCTTCTGGGAAGAGGATGCTCTCTAGAGCCAATTCTGCGTTGCGGGCGTCCCGCTGTTGGCTGGTAATCAGGCCAATCTCCTCCTTGACCTCCTGAGCTGATGGAGGGGGGGGGGGAGTGTCCTCTGTCAGGTCCACGGTTGCTGCTATGTCCTCGGCGCGTGGAGCTGATGGGTCTACGTTGGTTGTGGTCTGTAACAGAGAAGCAAAACCGGAGAGTTTCTCCGGACGGTTAACCACCCAGAAAGGGGGAAATTATTGGCGACTCCCGCTCAGCGGGGCGATAATGAACCGTAATTTTATCACGGAAGCCAGTAACCGAAAGGTTACGGAGCCGGTACTGGAGGTTGATAGGGCTTTAAGGCCTGTATGGCTGACTCGCCCTGAGCTTTCCCGGAAAGATCCACAAATTCATACCGAACTCGGGATTCCTTTCTATTAATCATGAAAGGACCCTCGAATGGAGGGACCAACGCAGCTGAAAAATGTTTCGCCGCATTGGATAATGGGTGAGTGCGCCGCAAAACCAAGTCACCCTCTTGGAACTCAACGTCGGGCCGACGGAGATTGTAATGGTGCGCCTGTTTGTCAGACGATTCCCGCATCGCGTGAG